TTTCAGCAACTTGTCCTTCTGAATGCACAGTACGCCTTATGGCACGCCAGCAGTAAAAATGTCACTTACAATAATTACTTTTGGTGAAAATGCTTGCTGACTTCCTACCTTCCAGCTGTTTTTTACACAGCGGGGAGATAATAAGAAATGACTTTATCCTGACTGCTCAAATAAACACTAAATGGAATTTAGGTTATTATTACTGAGAATTGAGGGCCGTGTCTGGAAATTTAAATGGGGGATCTGATAAACGGAAGATTTGTCTTTGAAAATATCTTTCTTTTCTCCAATAAAACACTGAAAATGATGAAGCATTTAATTATATCCTCTTATAATATTTGCTTATTCAAAAGCCTTTACTTTACAGATAGAATAGACAGATAGATTCTTGGGAAAGGCGTGTTGCACCTTTCCAAATAATCCAACCACAATAAACACTTTGTTAAATATTCCTCCTGCTGTTAAGTTCTGTGGAGTGAACCTTCTTTTTTGCCTGTGATTCTACAGACCTCTGTTTACGATTTCACCCGGGTCATTATCTCTACAAGAATGTGCGGTAGCCTACCCTTTTGCTAATTAGATGCATTGATAGACTGATTTATATATAATATATATATATACACACACACACAGAGCGAGAGAGAGCGATATCCTGTACCTAGAACAATCTCATGGATGGATAGATCAATCAGATGGATAATTAAGCATAGATAAATTGAGAGAGATCGATCTCATAGCAGGATCATTTGATCTCACAGATAGACCAATTAGATAGATTGATTTCTCATGGATTGATCCCATATATGGAAAAAGCCAGACATAGATGGATCGAATCTCAGCCAGTTCCTGCTGAACCGTCTGTCTATGGGCAGGCTGGTAGTACTGAAGTCGATCCATAAAATGACTTCAGTACAACCAGCCTTTTTTCATGTGATCTCAGCTGGCAGCTATAGCCATCAGCAGTGATCATTGTGTTCTACTGGCAGGAAGGCTTCCCGTGGGCAGAAACACAATACTGCTGCAGGAGGGATTCCTCCTCCTGTAGCCCTGACTGGGTTGATGGAGAAATCAAGCAATTTTCTTTCCTTCCATCCGTGGTGGAAGGAAAGAAAATTTCATAATCTATGGGCTGCTTAAAGTAATATCAAACAAAAAAACAAACATGTTATACCTACCTTCTCTGTGCAATGGCTGTTGCTGCTATGTCTGAGCCAATGAGGAAACAGAGACCCAGGAGAGCAGCTGTTCGTGTGCACAGCGCTGGATTGCGTTCGAGCTTGGGTAAGTATTGGGGGGGCTGTACACTGAATGTTTTTTCCTTCATGCACGTAAAGCATGAAGGTAAAAAGCCTTTAGAATCACTTTAAGTTAGAGATTTCCATATTGGCTGTCATTAAGCACTCAGTAAATAAAGATACTACAAATAAGGGTAATCATGATCCTGAAAGTTCGATGATATATTGCTCCCCATACCTATTTCAACCATGCAGAGATGTTTGGAGTCTTAAAACTATTGTTTTGAAAGTTCATACAATCCCTAGGAGTAGCATGTGGTTAAACAAAAGGAAATCTCTGTAGGGGCTGAAGGAGGAAGACGGCCTGCATGCTCAGGGTGTATGGGTGGCACTCCTGCACCCCTCTAGATGTGCTTGCTCTTTGCTGTCCTTAGATTAGCTGAGGGGCTGTGAGCATGGGGGATGCTAATATACTGTACCTACTTCTGTGAAGATACCTACAGACAGCGTTGTCAGCCATCACTCAGGAAATCTGACAGAATGGTTAAAAACCAGTAGTAGTAAGAAGAGCTGTGAGTGAAGATGTGTTAACACTGCACACCATTCTGTAGCGGTTTATGTAATGTTTTACTTCCTCTGCATTATTCAAAGACCTGCAGAAGCAGAATTCTGATCAGAATAAATGTGATTTAATTTGGTTTTATTTTTTGTCTGTCTGCTTCTTCCTATTACACACAGTGGTTGGAAGGTACACAGTCCTAGATGGTTTTACTTACTCGGTATCAGATCACAAGCTGGCACGTCTTTGGAAGCCAATTTTGTTTGCAAGCAATTTTCCGGGTTTTTTTTTTTTCTTTTTTTTAATTTGCCATGCAAGGACGGTGTATGGCTTTAATCATTTTCCAAATGTTTATCCTTTTCATCTGTCATTTCCTCTCTCCCAGAAGCACCTTAGAAAAATCCAAGCACGCTTTATGTGGTGCAGGACACTACAGCGCAGTAATTAATCTTGCTGTTCTGGGAGATTTGTTTAGGCTGATTCAGGGAACAAAATCAGAGTAAAACTTAAAGTAAGCTTTGTATGCGGTATCAGGCAGGCAACCATAATGCCGACCTTGCTGTAGGTTAAAGGATGCAGACCCAAGTAGAAGTTTGTTAATCATGTAGGGAATTCATGCCATCCCTGACAGTGTACAGTGAGCAAGATGGATGACCTGCCAATTTGCTCCCGCGCTTGGCTGAATCTGGTCAAATTTACAGTACTGTTTCTCAGCCGCCTGCAATACAGAAATAACATTTTCTGCGTTATATATTTTGTTTATAGTGACCTTAGGGTTTACAGCAAAGAGGCAATCAGATTTAAAGAACATAGCATTCCTTTCAGGCCTAGCTGGAGGATAATGTAAAAAAAAGTGTGTGTGCAATTTTTAATTCCACTGTTGTTACTATGTATTAATATAAAATACAGAGGGTGACCTTTTGGTTTTTTTTTTTTATGATATACTGAAGTGTGCAGTTTGAAAGCACAATCAAAAATGTATTTAAATATATAAATTAATCTTTTCTCACTGGAATACAAATCAGAATTTTACTAAATGCTCCAAATGTCAAAATTCTGTTGATGAAAAGCAATTTTGAAATGTATTTGCTAGACTACAAGTTCTGTCAGCCAAACATCAGTTTTTACAATTATGGGATATTTTAGGAACAATTTTCAGAGTGATTTAACTGACATATTGGTACAGTACCGATTTATGTGCCAGCATTATCCACCATGGGTTTCAATGTAAGACATGTAGTAGAGTTGTAATACTAATGCACAAACAGTGCATTATCCAAGGTTTTTTTGAAAAAAACAAAACACATACTCACAAATTGAGATGTGTGTAAAAGCCTGTAAAACTACTGAGATGGCCCAACCTAATTGCCCTGAGGAAGGGGACACATCCCTGAAATGTGTCAGCAGGCCAACTTCACTACCAGTCAGGTACTTTGCCTTTTACGTTGGGCCATCTCAGTAGTTTTACAGGCTTTTACATGCATTTCAATTTGCGAGTATGTTTTTGTTTTTGAATTTTTCAATAAACCTTGGATAATACGTGTTTGCGCCCCCTGTGTGCTTCTCTTTCCAGTTTTTTGTTGATCCCCCAGTCAGAGGAGGGCTGTACCAAGACCCTGTTCCTAGGCCATCAGCACATTTGATTCCTTGGTTTAACTGGCATCTACCCCTTTGAAGCACTGGAGAGGTTGTTCTTTCAGTACCAATACACAGATGCATGACAATGTAATACATAATTCCTGTAGCACTTACTAGCCAACTAGGGGGTACTGTCTAATTTGTGTCTATTTGATGGGCAGTTTTCCATTGCCTAGTTTTGCAAATATATATAAAAGCTGTACACCGAAGCAAGGTGCCTTCGCACTGCATAGTTTTATTTATCTATGAGAGCACGTTTTTTTTTTTTTTTTTATTTTACACAATTTTGGCTGTGACTTGAAATTGTTAAAGTCCAGTTAAACTTTACATTTTTATTAGCTAAATAAATTCCAGATGTATCAAAACAGTGTGGGACGTCTTGAGCCTTCATTCACAATGGAGCGTACCTGCACTTAAGCAAAATTTTGGGCAACCTATTCATTTCAGTAGACTGTCTTACACACAAAAAAAAAACCACACAAAGGAAGTGTATGACCCTTTCTAAGAATCACATAGTACTAAAACGCATGGTACTTAATGTGCATTTTTTGTGCATGTGAAAGTACATGCATTAGGCAAGATGTGTGGGGGGGGGCCATTTAAGTATTATTGGCACTGCTGTGCACCTGCAAAAGGGATGCACATTTTTGTGTGTTGTGAGAATGCACAAATGTGAATCTAACATCACAGTTCCTTTTCTACAAAAAAAAAAAAACAAAAACCATGTCTTGAGTGAAAAAAGCCTGTCCCCTGCCATTTGCAATGTTTGACACAACTCCTTGCTGACCTATTGCTCTAAAGTCAGCAAAACACACAAAATCCCTGCTGTTTAGAGAGCTCTAGCTCAGCACGGGGTATATTGGACCTGTGCAGAGAGACCACTGCTTACATACAGGGAGCAAGGGTCCTCTACAGCATGCTAGCTGAGGACAGGCTTTTTTACTCAGGCTGTGGATGTTTTCTAGCAAAAAAAAAAAAAAAAAAAAAGACTGGGAACACCTTTTGTTTTGATGCATCTGGAATGTACTTAGCTGATTTACTGTAAAGAGAAAAACTATTTTAATCACGAATGTATTCTTAACTCAACCTCCTCCAAGTCATTTTTTTTTGCTGCTGTGACATGACTTACTGTTAGAAGGTGGCTACGTTTGTAATTTATGGTCCCACTGTTTGTAGGAACATAGGCGCCCTCTCTTCTCTATGGACTGTAGGATGTGTACTGCGTATAGAGCAATGCACATGACCACAAATAATGTTCACTGGTTGCTTCAAACAAAGGAAAATTAGGGGGAAAAGGAGAGCTTTGGGAGATCACAGAGGTAGAAAAACACCATAAGGAACGATTTCATGGAAAAAAAAAAACTATTACAGGGCCATTAAGTAGTGTCCGTGTATGCATTAATTTTGTAAACAAAGGATATTTTTTAGTGTCACTTTAACCACCTCCCGCCCGCCATATAGTAATATGATGGACGCAAGGTGGTTCTCTCGTTCTGGGAGGACGTCATATGACGTCCTCCCATCCTCACCGCGCATGCGCGGCTCAGGCAGAGAACGGCGATCGGCCGTGTCCCTCGGACACAGCGGATCACCGATCATGGAAAGAGCCGAAGATGTCGGCTCGGTCATGTGATCAACTGTGTCCAATCACAGCTGATCACATGTAAACAGGGAAATGCCGGTTATCGAGAGGAGAGTCGGTAATCGGCTTTCCGCGGAGGGGATATGTACACTGATCATCAGGGCACTGATGATCAGTGTAGCCCCAGCAGCGCCACCTGTCAGTGTCCATCAGTGCCTTGTGTCAGTGCTCATCAGTGCCTCGTGCCAGTGCCCATCAGCGCCACATATCAGTGCCCATCAGTGCCACATATCAGTGCCACATATCAGTGCCCATCTGAGCTGCATTTCAGTGCCGCCTATCAGTGCCAGTCAGTGCCGCCTATCAGTGCTATATATCAGTGATGCCTGTCAATGCCACCTACCAGTGCCTTCTCATCAGTGCCACCTATCAGTGTCCATCAGTGCAGCCTATCAGTGCCCATCACTGCAGTCTCAGCGCTCATCAGTGAAGGAGAAAAATCACTTATTTACAAAATTGTATAACAAAAACTAAGAAAAAAAAATTTTTTTTCAACATTTTCAGTAGTTTTTGGTTTAAGAAAAAAAACCCAGAGGTGATTAAAGGCCACCAAAATAAAGCTCTGTCATAAAAAAATGATAAAAATTTCATATGGGTACAGTGTTGTATGACCGCGCAATTTTCATTCAAAGTGCGACAGCGCTGAAAGCTGGAAATTGGCCTGGGCAGAAAGGGGGTATAAGTGCCCGGTAGGCTAGTGGTTAAACTGAAAGTACAGGTGGACTTTAAAAAATAGTACACAGCTTACAGTTATCAAATACAAATGGTAGGAACCATGGCTTGGTTTCCACTCAGGGGTGCAATACACCTCTTGCTGGGATTATAAGGGTCCTTGCACATGATACTGATGTACAAATGCCAGATCTTCCTGCCAAGTCAGCTCCAGCCCAGAAGACACAAGTATGGTCCGTAAAGTGTGCCCATTTATGCAACTAAAAATTCTTCTAACTCCCACAATGCTAAACAATTCAGGGGAATCTGTGCATATTTGCATTAAATACTGACCAGTGTAAGAGATTTTTTTGGGGGGGGGGGGGGTTTTGTGGGTGTATTGTTTTTTTACAGATCTAAACGTGGAGCTAGTTTAAGGTTTATAACATGACTGTGTACAGATCCATTGAAAGCAATGGGCTGCATTCATATGAATACACCGATCAACCATGACATTATGACCACTTTCAGGTAAAGTGAATAATATTGATCATCTTGGTAAAATGGTGCCTGAAAGTGGTCGGGATATATTAGGCAGCAAGTGAACATGTTGTTTGTGATGATGATGTTTTGAAAGTAGAAAAAATGGGCAAGGAAAACGATTTGCGTGACTTTGACAAGGGCCAAATTGTAATGGCTAGACAACTGGGTCAGAGCAGCTCCAAAACTTCAGCTCTTGTGGGATATTCCTGGACTGCAGTGGTCAGGACCTACCAAAAGGGGTCCAAGGAAGGAAAACCCTTGAGCCAGGGTCGGGGCAGCCAAGGCTTAGTTATGTATGTGTGGAGCGAAGGCTGGCCTGTGTAGTCCGCTCCAATGGAAGAGCTATTGAAGATCAAACTGCTGAAAAAGTTCATGCTGGTTCCAATAGAAAGGTGCATTGCAGTTTGTATGGTGCCGAGTAGCCGCAGACCGATCAGGCTGCCCATGCTGACCCGTGTCCACAGCCAAAAATGCCTACAAATGAGTATGTGAGCCTCAGAACTAGAACAAGGAGCAATGAAAGAAGGTGGCCTGGTCTGATTAATTCAAGAATAGTTTGAGGAACACAAAAACAATTTTGAGGTGGTGACTTGGCCTCCAAATTCTCCACATCTCAATCCAATTGAACATCTGTTGAATGTGCTTGAAAAAGAAGTCCCATTCATGAAGGCCCTACCTCACAACTTACAGGACCTAAAGGATCTGCTACTGACAGCCTACTGCCAGCATACCTTCAGAGGTCTAGTAGAGCCCATGCCTCAATGGGTTATGATGGGTAGTCATAATGTTATGGCTGATCCATATATATTCTTGATAGTTAAAGATACATCCCTGTCATTTTAAAAACTCCCAGATCCGCTTCCTCCTTGGAGAGACCCAGATACATCAGGTGGTCATATATCTGGTAATCCATTAGATACAGTAGTTTTATATCTTGTCTATCACAATCCAAGATACATTTTTAGTGAAACCATTTATCATTTGAGGATGCTGGATAAAAGAAAAGATTCATTTGCGGTTAGGACTTGATTTCAAATATGTGCCCTCCTTGGCCTTTTATTGTGCTCAAAGCTTAGTGTACTATCTGCAGCTGCCTCTGTTCATGAAGTAATAGTAACAGCAGCACCAGGTCCAAATAGTGAATTAGTGTGTCTATATCTGGTCCCAATCGCTAATGATAGCAGCAGCTGACATCATTAGTCAACTGAGCTGGCTGCTGCTGATTTTGTTAGTAATCTATATTAGCTGCTATGTATTAGAATAGGGGTCTCTTTTAGCTGTAATATTAGAGGACATTAATCTCAATATATAAAATTGGATTGTCATATGACATAGAAGCTCAGGTTAGACAGGGCCATGAATGTGAAAAGGGATTATGTAACATTTACTAGAGCATGGAAAATGTCAACTTGCTATTAATTTTATTGAGATGGAGTTGTGGAGCTGCAATTAATTTGGCATTTCTTTACTTTTTTTCTCAATTATCAGTTTTTTTTTTTTCCATATTTTTGTAATAGCTTTTTACTTTTACGTTGTAATGTGTATGACAGCTTCATCTGCTAATTTTTAAATGAATGATAATAGTTGGTAAACTGGCTTAGAGCAGCCCCCCGCCACACACTTTCATGATGTCATATTTCTTTGGGTGTCCATCCCATCCTGCTTTTCCTAGACACGTTTAAATAAATGTGACTGTCTGATAACAATTCACAGAAAATCAGATTTCAGGTGCTGTCAAAGTTTGTCAGTTCTTTTTTAGTTGTTAAACTTTTTGACCAGCAGGACTATGTACAAGTCTATTCCATATACTTTTTTTTTCTAAGGTCTCATGCATATGGAGGTTTACACACTCTTGAGTCTAGTAGAGTAAAATTTCAGGTGTTTCAGTGCCCAGGAAGCCACATAAAGCTGTCCATACAAGTAAATGGCTGTATGTGGCTGGCTGCTTGTAAAGATTGATTTGTGGATTGTTTACCTGTACATGTGTATGCAAAGTATTTCCCCGGACGTGTCACTTTTGCTTATGGGGAATACCCCATAAAGAGCAAATAAACACCAGTGCAGAGACCATCATCATCTACCCCGGTTCACATATATGCGGCCATGTGGGCCACGTTTTGCACGGGCACGAGAGCCCATTCATTTGAATGGACTCCCGTGCCCATGAGACGCAGAGAAGAAGTCCCCGCACTTCTTTGGAAAACGCAGCCCGCACGGGAACCTCGGTTCCCAGTACGGTTGCGGTTTCCAGTGCGGGCGGCGTGCTATTAGAACTAATCGCACCCGCATTTCTCTGTGCGGGTGGTGCGACTGCACGGATTTTTGTGCGGATCCGCAGCGGCACCACCCGCACAAATGTGAACCTAGGGTTACAAGCAGCAGGCTACGCACAGACATTCACTTGTATGGACATCTGTACATGGCACCACAGCTCCCCGAGCTCAGGGAAGCACTGGGAACTTTAGGCTACAAGGTTCAAGACTGTGAAAACGTTCATGTGCATGAGGCCGAAGAATAATTGTCATAACTATGTCTGCCGCAGTCCCGATACAAGTCGCTGATTGCTGCCAATACTAGTATTATTATTATTATTATTATACAGTAGTTATAAAGCGCCAATGGTTCGCTCAGCGCTGTACATTACAAAGGGGGACAGAACATGTGACAGAACAATACCAATACAATGCAAAACATGAGGGGATCGAGGGCCCTGCTCTTTCGAGCTTACAATCTAGGAGGGAGGGGATAGTGGTACAGGAGGAGATAGCTGTGGGGGATGGAGTGGTAGGAAGAGTGGAGGAGGTCGGCAGGTTAGAGGGGGGGGGGTAGGCTTCCCTGAAGAGATGGGTTTTCAGGGTGCGCCTAAAGGAGAGGAGAGTAGGTGATAATCTGATGGGTTGGGGCAGGGAGTTCCAGAGGATGGGTGCCACCCTGGAGAAGTAGTGGAGGCGGGCATGGGAGGAGGAGACCAGGGAACTAGAGAGAAGGAGGTCTTGTGAGGAGCGGAGTGTGCGTGTGCTGGGCGGTACTTGGATATTAGGTCAGTGATGTAGTTCGGGGCAGTATGGTGGACAGCTTTGTACGTCAGTGTTAGGATTTTGAATTTGATCCGTTGCGTAATCGGAAGCCAGTGGAGGGATTGGCAGAGGGGGGGTGGCGGAGATGGAGCGGTTGGAAAGGTGAATGAGTCTTGCAGCTGTATTCAGGATCGACTGAAGTGGGGATAGCCAGCGGCGAGGCAGGCCAGTGAGGAGGGAGTTGCAGTAGTCGAGTCGTGATATGATGAGGGAGTGGATGAGCTGTTTAGTGGTTTCTAGGGATAGGAACGTGCGGATTTTGGCGATGTTGCGGAGGTGGAGTCTGCACGAGTTTGTTAAAGATTGGACTTGGGGCTGGAAGGATAGGATATGACACCAAGTACTCTGGCCTGCGGGGCGGGTTTGATGGTGGCGTTGTTGGATGTGATGGAGAAGTCAATGGGGGGTGGTGTCCGGGCTGGGGGGAAGACAAGAAACTCGGTTTTGGAGAGGTTCAGTTTAAGGAAGTGGAGCGACATCCAGTCTGATATGTCGCTCAGTAGGTGTGTGATTCGGGCGGAGACCGAGGGGGTGAGGTGGGGGGTTGAGAGATAGATTTGTGTGTCGTCGGCATAGAGGTGGTAGTTGAAGCCGTGAGAGTGTATGAGTTGGCCAAGGGAGGAGGTGTAGATGGAGAAGAGAAGGGGCCCAAGGACAGAGCCTTGAGGGACCCCAACAGAGAAAGGAGTGAGGGGGAGGTGGTAGCATTATAGGTAACGCTGAAAGAGCGGTGTGACAGGTAGGATGAGAGCCAGGAGAGCAGAATTTCTGAGGCCGAAGGAGTGTAGTTTTTTTAGGAGGAGGGGGTGGTCGACTGTGTCAAAGGCCGCAGAGAGGTCAAGGAGTAGGAGCACTGAATAGTGGCCATTAGCTTTGGCGGTTAGCAGGTCATTGGAGAGTTTGAGTAAGGCAGTTTCGGTGGAGTGTAGGGGACGGAAGCCGGACTGTAGGGGATCAAGGAGGTTGTTGTGTTGAGGTGAGAGCTTAGGCGGGTGTAGACTAGGCGCTCGAGGAGTTTAGATGTAAATGGGAGCAGGGAGATGGGTCTGAGGTTGTTCGGGTCAT